CTTCGCTTATGTTCCGCGGTGCTGTCGCCCCCCCTCCCCGCGCAGTCTTGCCGTGCCACACCCTTCTCGGATTCGTATCTCTCCGCCACTCCTCTGCACGTCTCTCGATTTCTCCGCTTCGCCTCGCCCCTCTGCCCGCTCCCCGCCCGCTTCCCGGTCCCCTTGACTTCCCGCCCTGCCACGTTCGTTCTCCTCATCTCGGTTGTATACCCGCTTCCTCGTTTCCTTCACTTCCCCGCCTCGTCTGTTAGCATTTCTCTCATCGTTACTGACCCTATCTAGGTCGTCTCTCTCCCCGCCCTGCATCCTCCGTCTCTCCTCCTTATGTCTCTCTTCCCTCCCCGCCTTGCCACTCTCCGCCTCTGTTCTCTCCGTGCCTCGTCTTCATGCGTCTCACCTTTCTCGCCTTTGCTTTCCCCACATCGCTTCTTCCTCCGCGTTGAATCTCTTCCCGCAACCTCTTTCTCTACCTGCCGCCTTAGCTCTCGTGTCTTCCCTGCTTCGTCCCCCCTGCCTGCCCGTTCCAGGGTCCTGTCGTCCTTGTCTCTCTCCCCACGTACTTTCTCGTCTCTTCCGCGTCCACCGTCCATATGCGCCCTCCCTCACTCTCTGCCACCGCGCCTCGCGTTCTCTCTCAACGACATTCACGGCATCAACTCGTTCGTGTTCTGCTGATAAATGTGGCTTCACTACGCGCGTGTTTTCATGAGCTTTTCTATTACTATTTGTAGTAGAGCCGGGGATATAGGTTACTATTTTGTTAGAAATACTAATAAATCAAATCTGTAGTGTTTGCCAATACGAATAACGTTTTTATAACACGAAAATTGTGCAAATTAACACTATCTTTCCGCTACCGTCATCCAACGAGACGCCTGGCCAACAGTGTCGTGAGCAACCGCCGGGAGGCGATTCGCACTGAGAAAGCACATGACAAGTCCGACAAAGGATTTTCTATTCCTTTTGTTGCAAAAAGTCTCCAGTACCTCACAACTATTACATTCATATAATGACGTACAAAGGAGAAGTCTCGTTTCTCATTTAAGTTCTCTCTTTCTGTAGTATTGGTCTAGCACACCCTACTTACATATAATAAGCTACTATACTATATATAGTTATAAAAAATGGCGGATACCAACTATCCCCTTTAATTTGCAAATAATGCGTCTATCATCTTAATTCTGGAATATATTTGAAAATTCCATAAAAAACATAATTTTTCCTTTTTAAATTTGATGCTGCCAAGATGAGTTTGATCGAACTTCCTTACTGCCTGTTTTAACCACGGGCTAAGTAAAACACGTCTCTCTTGATTTTACCGCTACGTTGCTTCCTAATCCATCACAGTGTGCACGGCCCTATAACGTTCAAACGTGACGTAGGCCGCGAAAACGAAGCCTTACTTTAGAGAACTTTTTGAGTCCTCGCTCCTCCCCTCCATGCCCTTCTTTGCGGAGCCTACTTCCTCCGTTATCCCAGCAGCACAGTCCGCCAGGAGAAGCCTGCTGCTTCCTTTGAGCGGCGGGCACGCAGGCGAGACACTGTCTTCGTGTAATACTGACTATTTTAGATGCTTTAGAAGAGGCACGTTCATCTTCCTTTGTGTTCATGCCACCCAGAAAACGTAGGTGCGTAGCATGCGTGTTTTCTTTGTCCGGAACGATGGCAACACACGTGTAGTTATGCTTTTCTTGTGTACTATAACAAATCCGTATTGTGGATGAAATTTTGTGACCTTCCTTGGACGACATGCGGGAATGTTCTGCCAATGCAATCCATCAAAACGGGTTCCAGAAAACCTGCTGACCTTTATACATTTTTTTGCATTTAGCGAATGTATTTTATCCCGAATGCTTGAAGCATAAAACCGATTGATTTTGAAAGAATTGTGAATGCGTAACATAATTTAGTGTTTAATTTATATGGATGTTTCGTTTGAGATTTGACTGATTTGAGAAACTCAAGAATTTTGTTACCTCAACATCAGCTAGTTGAATATTATTTATACTCAACAGTACATGCGATTGAATTGTAAAACTGCTTTAAAAGCGTTTTACCTTCCTTTACTATTAATTTATTACGATATAATTTTGAAATAACTAAAATCGTACTTGTTCTATTAAGAATATTCGTGACATCAACAAAGAGGACTGTTCTTATGTTTATATTGGGCGAAGACCTACCATTTATGCCTATAACAGGGTTGTCCAACTGGCGGGCAGCGCTGCTATTTATTGTGACCCACCAAAGGTTATTAGAAAAAACAGAAATCCCTTTCACCCAGAACACAGGGCGCCTAGCGCACGCACCATGTCGGGGTCAACACCCTTTTAATGCAAAAATACCCGAAGTTTAGATTTAAGGTTCTTTCCTAGTAAATTCCGAATTTCACAATCATCCCAAAGTATTTGACTGCGTTATGCTTGGTACGGCCTGTTACACGCGTGATTTCATTCCCCTCGTTTTAGAACAGCCGGGTACAGTGTCAAGATCAACAATCCGGGAAAGTCAAATGCGGATATGCAATTAATGAAAATATGGCCCGTCTCCATGATAAAGGTTTTACTTGTGGCCCTTGAGGCCTTACAAGTTGGACCCCCTGGTCTAGAAGAAAGAGACTAGGGCCTTGCATTACTTCTGAACAGTAAACAATTCAGTTGCTTGTCTCCTAAGTGTCACATATACTTTCTATTGTTTTTTACGTTCAATTCATGAATAATTCAGTAAATTTAAAAAATACTACTTTATAATACTATTCAGTGCAAAGGAACTTCCCTCCATAATTTAAATATTTTGCCCTATTTAAGCTCTCCTCGTTTCTACTCACCTGGCCGCCCACCATGCCGCGACGTAGCCGAGGGAGATCAGTGTGGGACCAGTTGCTCCTGGCCCACGGATCCACTTTCATCAAGTCTGCCGTGAAGTTGAATGTCAATATTTGGTTGTGCACAAATTTCCGAACATTCCATGGTAAATCGTTATGACTGCAACATACAAATTCACAAACAAATGAGAAAATGAATAAGAACACACGATACATAGAGAAATATTATACAATACTAAAAAAATATTGCATTGTGTAGTGGGCTTACACAATGCCATATCAGGAGTAATTTCAGCATATTATTACACAACACCTTGTAAAAAAGCCAATAAGTAGTCAATAGTAGTAGTTTGTACCAACAAGTCGACAAAACACAACAATTTTGTAATAAATATTCTTTCTTTAGCCTCGTGGCTAGCTTTTGGTCAGCGTGCTTGCTTTCCACTACGCGACCCGGGTATTTGCATTTACCAATAGTTAATGATAGAAGACTTATTGTTGTACAGTGATCATGTAATAATAAGTACAGTCCACACAGGGACAATGTTCAGTGAATTATATGAATGAGAAAACACAGAACATATGTAAATGAATTACAACTATGTGTCATGGATGAGAATCTTTCAAGTAATATTCTCCGCAATTTACCAATCACCAGTATCATAAGTGTTCCCATTTTTAAGGTGTCACCTTTCTTGTTCTTGAACAAGAAGTGAAATATTTAGGGCTGTTACAAATTTTATAGTTATTAATAACGAATGCACAAATACGTAAACTAATAAAGATTTGAACGAAACAATGAATAAAGCTTTTGCTTACAATTGTAGCACCAATTAAGGAATACTATTTTTGTTATATTTGAATATTGTTGCTGCATAATTAACTTCAATACTGAACATAATTAATTTCAGTATTTAACGTCGGCTTTTCTCATCATATCCCTGTCTCTGCAGAAATACACCCTGAAGGTAGACCTATGGAAAAGCGAGAGGTCGACACCGAGAGAGAGAGAGCGCAATCTTGAAGCAGAACTGCAACTCTGCTTTTACTAGAGACACCAACGCCCTACTTGGACACTATTGTAATAGATTCAATGAGCTGTAAATTCGTCAACGCGGTAAAAAAAAACGGCTAAGGATTTACAAATGACGTCCCGTATTCAAGAATAAGACAGAACTAGAGACAAGCCATGGTACGACAAAGAATGTCATATTTTACGCAAAGAAACGAGAAATACATTTAGAAAATGGTGTGGAACGAAGAAATTATTACATTTGCTCGATGAAGTACTACGTTAACCTCACGAAAGAAAAAAGTACCAAATCACTCAATAAGCTAATCATTCAAATATCAACAGTTGTACCGCCTATTGTACGTAACAGTCCGTAAGTTAAGAGGAGGTAAAAGTAAGATTTGTACAATATCAAAAAAAATAATTGAAGATTTCTATAAAAATATCGTCCCACTAGAATGGAGACATACGATTCCAGACAAAGAGATTACTCCAGAAGAATTAATGGTAAGCATTCGAAAACTAAAGAACAATAAAGCGCCGGACCCGACGGAATACCCAATCTATTATACAAGAGACTTCCTCGAAACTGGTTGAATCAATTACTTAAAGTCTTTAACATGGTTCTTGAGACTGGAAATGTTCCATCAAGCTGGTGCGAGTTGGAAGTTTTGATCCACAAGATGGGAAAAGAAACAGACTCATTTAATTACGGGGAATACCGCTTGCAATCTCGATAACTAAAATGGCGTTTAAAAAATTGTAAACAATCACGCAGTCTGGCCGTGCAAGCTTTGACTGCGTCAGAACTTCCCAAAAGTAAGAAGAATGTAAATATGAAATAGAAATACAATTAGGTTGGGCATTGTTCGTTGGGCATTTCAACAATTCGTAATAGTTACTTTCAATATTAAGAAGCTACAACATGCTAGTAAAGAAAGTAGGAACGATGTCACCATACTGGAACTTAAGTGTCCCAGAAACATAATTGAAAAAAATATTTACTTTGTTCTTAACGAGAACATGTAATGCAATGATGTGATACCTATCTCACAAATAAAATACTGCCTCAATTAGAAACATTTCTTTGACTCATTTCAGAGACACGCTGGGAATTGTTCGGAGAGGCTCACTGCAGAACAGCCATCTCAATTTATAATTGGTTAGCGAGGTAATTAGGAAGTTGAAAGTTTTTACACCGCTAAGGTGTCTTGGTGGTCCACGTAGAATTGGACAGTTAAGAGTAATTACCGACTCTCTCGCAGATATATAGCGTGGACGGTTTGGCTAACTCTCCAGTACGTCTGGCGTGAATTCCAAAAATACTTCGTTCTGGGTCCTTTTTTCATTCAATTAACCACAGGCAACACGGTAATATAAAAGGTAAAATATATTTTTGACGCCGATCCTGATATTTTTTAAACTAAACAAAACATTTGTAATTTGTCTGTTGAAACGCCGTTTTTAATCACATTTTCTGAACCAGAGACACATGGGACGTAAATGAGAAATTTCAAGAGTTAGTGAGTAAGTTGCAAAAGTCAAAACTACAGTATAGAGATATTAATGCAAAGAATGTTAAATATTAAATACTAGAGATAACGCGTCAAATTAAATCTAACTCCCGTATTAAAAAAATAGTGAATAGTAAAATTATAGCACATGTTTAATATTAAATTTGAGTTTTTATATCAAAGTTTCCATTATTAATAGTAATATATTCTGAAAATTAGGGTCTGCGGTTCTCTGAAGGACTGTGAAGAGATTTTAGAGACACCCTGACCAGAAACCAATGACACATTGTCGCACTTTATTGGGGAACATTACTTAGAAATGTCATAATTAATAAATACACCATTAAAATATTAAAGAAAGTTTCAGTAATCACATATCAGTAATATACTTATTATTTTTTAAATATCAAAAACAGTAAAAACTTCATATGACGATTAAAGAATTGGCATAAAGCTATAAAAGAAGCAAAAATAAAAATATTACCTGTATACGAACCTTTATGCCTAATTTACGTAGTAAAAGGAAAATAATAATTTACGGAATTATCGATATGGAAGGAGCAGAAATGTCTAACTTATGATACACACGCGATTAGCACAAGGACAGACGCGAACGACCGGTATCGCTCAGCTTTTGTCGTGGAAACCCATCAGCTCGCTCACATACTTTCCCGTCTTTGATGTCTTTCAGCGCGCCCAGTCGCTTGAAAGATAATTTCAATGCCGGAGAAGCTTACTCGTATCTTTCTGCTTATTCAAATACGAGAGCAGAAACTATATGAAAAGCAGTGCTTTAATATTCACTCGATATAAACGCTGTGATCTCAGTAGCTCTTTCGCGACGCTGTCTATTTTAAGATTCTATTCATTGAGCTGCGCGACGGCGAGGCGGCGGGTGGCGGATATCGCAATAAAAACCGACGAGAAATCCGCCCGAGAAGAGTCGCCTGCAGCCGCGTGTGCGGGGCCTTTGAAGCCCGGAC